CCAGAAAGTTCACAGAAGTAGTGTGGGATGGGAATTAAAATCATAATAGCTGATGGGAAGCCATTTTTTCTCTTAACTCCAAGAGAACATCTGTATGCTCATTAATTTTCTAAACTCTTTACGTGGATGGGAATTGAGGGCCTGTCTTTTCCCCTACCACGGTACCCTTCATTCTCCCTTAACAAGCTTCTCTCTGGAGCTTAATAGTCCAGGTCACTATTGTATTTATGAGACAAGTAGGTGAAGGAGAACGCTGACATAGAATGGTTAGGGTTGGAAAGGACCTTAAGATCATACAGTTGCAACCCCCTGCCATGTTTCACGATTAAGGAGGCTGTAAATAATGCTCAGAATCCTGAATGAAATATTGAAAACAGACAAATCTGCCAGATAGCTTTATAGCTTTTCACTTTCCAGAGATGTAGATAGTTATTCACGGAAGAAAGGGATCCTAGGGCATTGCTCTTCATTATCCCAAACATAACAGACTTGTAGGAAAAAACTCAAACCAAAGCCAGCACTTTTAATACCGCAAGAACTAACTAAATGGAAAGCTATTGCAAAGAGACGTACTAGCAGCACAAATGATATAATTTTAATGCAAAAATGTACTATTTCATCTCTCAAGGAAAATAAACAATGTCTTTTAAAAGGGTACAGCTTTTGCTTTGGTCAGGCAATTTACCTAAGAAAAATGCAAAAAATGATTTAACCCTGCAATCAGTAATGTAAAAGTTTTCAGTTCCCTAGCTGAAAATCTCTTTTTCTATTACCAACTTGGTTTAGACTTTAAACATAAAGCAAACCAAATTAACTAGATTGATAAAATTAACCTTTTGAAGGGGGGGAGGGGGAATAAAGTATCTTTCTTCAAGTATGATAAAAGGTCTTACTATTTCTCCAACAACCCAGAACTGTCATGCTTGACAGATCCATTGTCATTAATTATATCTACATTTTCTGTTTCTTAACTCAGAAGAACTTTTCTCAAACACGCCATGACTTTCTGCCAGCACAGGCTCAACTGCCTAAGAAATATTGATCATTGATCTGTTTGCATTCCTGCCACATGCCCCAGGCAAGTATTCAGGTTATAATGAATGGACCATATTGCTGAAAAAGAAATTGAACACACAACAGAGGTTGAAAGTTAACTAAAAGTCACCCCAAAACCTTAAATGGAATCTCCTCACTGTTACAAAAGTATTGTATCAATTCGGATTAAAATCTTAAAATTATTCTTCTGGATTTATCACTTTACAAAACAGTGGGCATCATGCACACATATAAATATTCATGCACGCATTCTGCTGCAGCTTCCATCTCTTGCCTACAGATTTTCACTGAGGTGGGTTTTGGTTGGTTGATTTTTACACATAGAGGCATCAGGGCAAAACAAGGAAAGTACCCTTAGAGGAAACACAAAAATTATGATCATTTATGAGCAGACTTACAAAGATATTTTCCAATCAAAAATAAAAAACATTAAAACTAAAAGGTTGGGAAAAAATGGCCAAATGAAACCGTTTTTATTTGAATCTCCTTACAATATGGGCAGATGTGGATAGACCTGGAAACAGGACTTATCAGAGAGAAGCTGAGAACATGATTTCAAATTTGTATTATGCATGAATTGGAATGACAACAAACTGTACGCCTAGACCAAAGACTAGGTAGAGCCTACACATGAGTTCACACATCATTAAACTATACCTGCAGTGATGCAGGTGCTTTAAAGCTGTAGAAAACAACTACCAAATTGCACCTCAAAAAATCAGAAATATGCAGGCTCCAATTATATGGAGCTTCAATTTAGATGAAATCAGAAATCAAGGTATTCTACTGCTTTGGCAAAGGAATCACATTCTAAGCTCAATATTACAAACATTCTAATATGCTGTCATTCTCTATGTGATATTTAGTTTATTATTTAGGCCATGGCATTCCATAAGTCAAAGGCTTTGCAAAGGAGCATGAAGCATGAAGTCTGTAACAGGTTCTCTGAGCCCTCTAAACATTCAGTAGAGCAGTGGAGGACCCAGGCCTGTACAAAAGCCAGGCAGAGCTACGTAGGTCATAGTGTGAGACTAATACTCCCAATTAGCAAATTTTAAAGGGAGAAGGAAAAGGGCTAGATTTTTGCCTTTGAAAGGACAGGCAGAGAGTGACTTGACGGGTGGAGATGGCTTGTCTCCTACCAGACAGGATACTGCTTGTCTCCTACCAGCACGATACTGCTCCCCAACACAGAGGCATTGTGAGGTAACTCTAGCATCTCTCACCAAGATAAAAGACTGAATGTGAAATTTCATATTTCCTACATGGCAGAATGTCCAATTTATTCACACAGAAGAAAGAACAAGAGCTTCTTTTAACAAATAAGCCAAATCAGATAAACATGGAAGCAAGCCTGGGAAGAGGTTTTCTGTCTGTAAGAATAAGCAGATTTTTCTTTCCAAGCATCCTGGAAAGAATTATTTTTCTTAATAGAATCTAGTTCCTTAACAACCAGTTTCAAAATCCAAATACAAAGATGATATATTTAAGCTTAGGTGTTTTCCTCAGATACCTAGGAATAAATGAGATGAAATGATGATTCAGATTTGTAAAGGGCAATTCAATGAAAAAAGGAAACATTACGAAGTCAGAAACAAATCTGTCCTATCAACACTTACTGCTACTGCCAGATAGAAGAAATCACACATAAAGTGTCTTTACCTTCAATTATAGAAAAGATCAACCTCCCTATGGTATTCCAAGATCAGCCTCATTTTTCCTAATCCATGCAATATTCTCCTAAGAAATACTTAACTAGAAACAGATCAACTGCAAGTGAATTCACAAATATACACATTTATTATGATTTTTTTTCTAATATGACCTACATATTAGAATACCTCATCAGAATAAAGATAGCATACAGTTCCACAGTTCCATGTTTGGCTAGTTTGTGGAATAGCAGTTTACTTGCATTTTAGTTTCATGGTTTAGTGACCTCCAGTGGTTACATTCAAAACAAACTGCTATTGACCAATTCCCTGAATAAGAACTTTAAAAAATATATTAAAAAATAGGTAAAATATTATCTTAATTAATAATTTAATTTAAATTTAAATATTAAAACTTTAATAAAATATTAATTCACTATTTTATTTTTTTTATATATATATAAAACAAAGGCTTTTGGCATGTAGTATGTGAAAGCTTACTTTTAGTCTGTAAAATGAGGATGAGGCTTCTTTCCTAAAGCTTTTCTGCTTCTTCAGTTCTTAATATTACTACTATTTAACAATCACTTAAGCAAGGTTAAGGGAGCAGTTTCAACCTCAAAGGTACAGGAACTATCCTTAAATAAATGTGTAACTGAGTAAAAGCGAGTAGGGGTACAAATGAAGAGCCAACTTTTAACACATGTCCTGTGTAAGTTTATTAGATCCTGTAGTACTTAAAAAATACAAAGAAAAACACAAATAACTGGATGAGTCCATAATGAGGTAACAAAAAAACTGCAAAAGGTTTGTGACAGAGTGATAAAAAATGGAAAAAAAGCTTTGTGTACATAACATGCCAGAATATATCTGACAAAGTTGGTTTTCACCAAGCTCAGGCCTTCTTACAGGTAGCTATACTGTCGACTGGTAAAACATGAATCGAGTATCAGTAACAACACACCCATGAAAACCAAAATCTGATGACCTTTTGTTGCTGTGAATTCCTATTTATGCTCAACATATCTTGCCTTGTGAAGATATGAAACGGAAACCAGCTTCTGGGAATGATGCAAAATGAAGTTCATGTTCTTAAGATAATTTATCAAACCAATTTTGAACAAGTGAACTATGAATCTGCTTCATGGGTTGATATCATACTAAGTTATTAAAAGTTACATGGATATCTCAAAATTACTTTTGAGTATTTTCACTGAAACTTCTAAAAGCAGGAGAAAAAACCTGCCACACACAAGAGTGCACCTGAATTTTGACCCTGAATTTAACTGACACTCAACTGTTAATACTGAAAGCATTGACCAAACTTCAATGACTGTAACCACAAGGACTCCTTCCCCACTTCATAACTTTAGAAAACAAAGAACCCAAGGTAATAACGACAATGTTTCAATTCAGATTTCACTACAGAACTGAAATGTTAAGCAACATAGCAAGATAATCATAATAATCCTTTATATTATTAAGAAGAAACCACAGGGACCTAGAGCAACAAATGCTTCCTTAGCTGCATTGCCAAAAAAATCAGCTATTAACCAATAACTACATGTTCTGACACACCAGATAACCAGATCTGTATGGCGGCATAGTTGCTACGTGTGTTTAGCACTAATTTCTCACATTCAAACACCCATTGTATTCAAATCCTGACTTCACCTCATAAAGTAGAAATAATGTCATATTCACTCTTTAAAAAGTACTAAATAGCAGATTCTGTCAAGTTTACACAATTTGTGTGCATGCGTCACATGCAAACGAGGACAGTAAGATCACTTTGTCTGATCAGTCTTCTGTTTCAGTCAACTACTGAGCATGCAAAATGAAGAAAGGGATTACAAATATTTTCGTTCTCCAACGAAAATTATCTGCCCTTCATTACACCCATTCTTCAAGAACACCGAGGAATCTCAAATGAGTTCCATCTCAATTACTTTTTGGAAAAAGGATATCAAGGAATCAGTTACCCTATCTTATACTAATTATAATAATTATATTTCCAGATAACCAAATACATCAACATTCCTTATAACACACGCAAGCATGAGAAGTATGACAGTGACTACTGTTGTAGTTGTGATTTTGGTCTTTGCAGAGCTACCCAGAATAAACTCAGAAATTTATACGTTTAATCGAATCAATTACATTCCCATTTACATCAGAAACAAATAAAGCAGGGATCAGAAAAAAAACTCTGAAACCTCTTGACATAAACAACAAAAGCATTAACAAAACTCCCCACTCTACTCCTCCCCCAAGGAAAAAGAGGAAAATTACCTCAGAAACAGGTACATTTTCACCAAGTTCCGATGTGTGTAATGCCAGTAAACCGATCAGTCGAGCAACTTTGACACGTCTGAATATCAAATAAAGTAGGTACATATCAAATAAAGTAGGTACATAAAAACTATTTCAAAAATACCATAAAACAACTGTCTTGTTTATATTTTACACAGGGCACAAAATACTTGAATTGCTATTTACAGCTCATATCTTCCTCTTACAGAATCAGAGTCACAGAACGCTTTGGGTTTGAAGGGACCATAACTAGTTCTAACCCCCTGCCACAGGCAGGGACACCTTCCACTAGACCAGGTTGCTCCAAGCCCTGTCCAACCTGGCCTTGAACACTGCCAGGGATGGGGCAGCCACAGCTTCCCTGGGCACCCTGTGCCAGTGTTACTTCAGTATTTCAGTTCAATTCAGCAATAAATTCGTGCATAGACATTTCTTTCCATAAGCACTGAAGAATGAAGATTCTTTAGTTTGTTACGGTCTCACTAATCAGTCAAGCTCATATTCAGTTCTCTTGTAACACAAAAAAACCCTATAGATGATTTGACACTTCTTAGTTTAGCTGACAAAACTGAAATTAGAACTGTTTCAGCAAATCAGTTTTAAATGTTTCATTAAAGACAGAATTGAAATAAAAATCAACATTTATGAAACGAACAGCAGAGGGCACTACCACACTGGAATAAATACAGCTGTTTTTAAACGCCTGTTAAGAAATATTCCACTACTATTATGGTATAGGCTGGTTTAGTCAGTGATTTTGAGTAACACTATTTCATACACTAAATTACATAACTTCTAAATAAATGTTTAGAGATTCTACATAATCTTTGGAATATATAAATTCAATGCTTAAAAAATTCAGTGTTCTATTATTTATCACCACACTGCCAGTCAGGTAGCACAACAGTCTCACAAGCTGAAATACTTAAATACCCTGTTAAAGAATATCTTTAATAAAAATCAGTCAAAATTCCTTATTTAAACAAATTCATTAAAAATAATATTACTTACATATCCCAGTTGGCGGCTGCACGCAGCTGCTGTATCAATATAGGAAACTATAATTTAAAGAAGATAAATAGGCATTAGTGGATTTTAATGATCTGACCTGTTCCAATGATATACAAAATAAAATCAAAATATCAGTAATATGATAAACAAATACTGTAGGTATTGTCCAAACATTGATAAAAAAGAATAAGCAAAACCTGAGAGTAAAAATACAGCACTGTGTGCAGTTCTGTGGTCCTCAACATAAGGACATGGAGCTGTTGGAGCAAGTTTAGAGGAGGCCATGAGGATGATCAGGGGCTGGAGCACATACCCATACAACGACAGACAGAGAACACTGGGGCTGTTCAGCCTGGAGAAGTTGCATGGAGACCTCAGAGCAGCCTTCCACTATCTGAAGGCCCCTACAAGGATGCTGGAGAGGTACTCTTCATCAGGGACTGTAGCAATAGGGTCCTGAGGCACTGACACAGGGTGCCCAAAGAAGCTGTGGCTGCCCCATCCCTGGCGGTGTTCAAGGCTGGGTCAGACAAGGCTTGGAGCAATCTGGTCTAGTGTGAGGTGTCCCTGACCGTAATAGGGGTTAGAACTGAGTGATCTTAAGGTCCTTTCCAACCCTAACTATTCCATGATTCTATATTCTTGCCTGAAACTAAACTGTTAAACATGTATCAGTGCGTTAAAAACCACACTTTTTTTTTTTTTTTTCCATAATGGAGAACAAAGATCATCACATAGTGTTACCCAACAAGCTTTTAATGTATTTATTTTCTGAGAATAGACAAAAATAGGTGGCAAATACTAGAATAATGACTGGACTGCTGACACACATTCAGCCAATAAGAACCAAACTGCATAGCTATTCATGTCTAAAATGTTAATTGGCAATTTCAGTTGTTGGATTCCTGTCCCCAGAATTTCTCTCCAATGATAAAGGAGCAATAAGTTCCAGCAATTCAGTTTCTTGTTTTCATATGAGTTCTGTATTATAAGACCTACACTGATTCCAATCTGAATGTTCTTCACTGAATTTTTCTGGCCGGCAATTTTGTCTTTAATAGCTATATATCCAACAAGGACATGTCTCAGAATATGACTTACTTGCAGAAAACAAGGTAGGTGGTTTACTTTTTAATAAATAAACTGAAAATTACACATCTCAAGATAGTCTCTGTGATGCTTTTACATAATCATAGAATGGTTTGGGTTGGAAAGCACATTAAGATCATCCAATTCCAACCCCCTGCCACAGCAGGGATGCATCACATTAGAACATGCCACCCAAGGCCCCATACAATCTAGCCTTGAACGCTGCCAGGGATGGAGTATATGAAAAGAGTAAGTCTATTTTGTTTCTGCACCATGCAGTAACCTGAGATATATGTTAATCCACTACAGAGGAGACTAGTACAATTGTCTGGTAGAAAATCATTCCTGAATGGTGAAACCACCGTTCAGGCATATGCTAAACCAGACTCTCCAGAGAACATGCTCATTTTTTGAAGCAGGACTTAATGAAAGCTTTACTGAATGCTCTCTGGGAAGCTTTTCTTGCCCTTCTTTATGGACATATGGCCAAGCAAAATTGACTGAGCAACTCAATCCTTAACTATTTTCAGTGTTCTCTGTCCTTGAATGATTCACAAAGACCAACATTTCATCATATGCTATTTCACTCTCCATCAAGGTTAATTTTTAACCCAACCTTTTTTACTAATGTAGCAAATCTATATAAAAATATATCTGAAATCTAAGGAGAAATAATTACTTTCCCTCAGCTCTTTTAAAAAAGCTGACATGGAATTTAGTGATTTTTTTTTTCATTATTCTGTACTTAATTTGCCATATTATTTTTGTCAGTACACCAATGATTTCTTGAAATATAACTAAAAGCAGAGATTTTTGTTACAACGGCACTGATTCCTTTAAAACTTTATTATTTACCAGCTGAGAGTTCATAAGCCTGTTTGCAATCTCCTTGTGGACAGCCACAGTACACAGATAGCACAGGAAGTTCAACTTAGAACGTGCTGCTCCTGTATTCTTCTCGGGAGAACCAAGCATTAAACATACTCGTTGCAAGAAGTCATTCCAGTCCACATCCTTCATAGATGATAACTTCTCAGCTAACCATAAGAAGCAAACAAGTATTTAAAGACAATGGATCTTCAATGATGCTTTAACACACTAGAAAATAACATCACCATGGATAAACAAGTTACAAAGTTCACATCTATTTATAATTTTAGTACTTAAAACATAAAACAAAAATGTTAATATTCATGTCTATAGATCATAGAAATAAAAGAAGAAATAAGAGAAACAAAGCATAAAAATGCAGCAGAGAGCCTCAAAACTTTTCTTAAAGTGCAACCCCACTAAGTCCTTGGACTTAATTCAAGTAAACATTCATTGGCATTACATTTAGGAAAGGTAATAGTTGTTTGTAATCATTACTAAGTCTTAATAAGAAACTGCAGTTTCATTGGAGAAAATCTGAAGCAAAATCTAACAAAAGTCAGGAAAATTTCCCCAAAAGTCAATAAACTGAATACATGTATAGCTACTCATATAGGTAGGTTTTCACCTAGGTAAGCCTTAGCAGTATCAGAACACAGAGGACTTCAGAAGGAACATGAAGTCACGAGGATGGTTAACTTAAATCCTGTGGTTCCATTCACTGACCACCGTACATGAATAGAGATTTTTCCAAAGACTTCCTTATCAGTCCCAGTGGATAACTTCCTTCTGGAAGCCACACATTCCCTCAGTTTTGGTTAGTTGTTTCTTTATACATAATGACTCTTCATCAGGGACTGTAGTGATAGGACAAGGGGTGATGGGTTTAAACTGAAACAGGGAAAGTTCAGGTTAGATCTAAGGCAGAAGCTCTTCCCTGTGAGGGTGTTGAGGCGCTGGCACAGGGTGTCCAGAGAAGCTGTGGCTGCCCCATCCCTGGCAGTGTTCAAGGCCAGGTTGGACAGAGCCTTGGGCAACATGGTCTAGTGTAAGGCATCCCTGCCCATGGCAGGGGATTGAAAGTGGATGATCTTAAGGTCCTTTCCAACCTAAACCGTTCTTTAAGCCTATGATTAATATCCTATCTGCCATCCTGATATACTCCAGTACAGAGTACTTACAAACATGGCTTTTGTCTTTTACTCCAATTTTACACTAGAGTAACAACACCTACTGATGAAAGCAATTATAATTTACATTGGTAAAGGCGAAAAGTGGCTTGGATTTCAGGTATTTCTCTTAATTTTTCCATACTGTCTTTAATCATTACTGTTTTTGAAGAAACTGAATTTGATGCTGCTCATCAACCAGAATGCTGTCCAAGAAAAAAGTTACAACCCTCAAAGTGTTAGAAGAAGAAAAAACACTGGCCCATCTACAGACAGTAGTTAAACATAGCAACATCAGTGTGATAATTTAGCTACTTAAATGCATTATGAAATAAAATACACACACATACACACACACACTCCAGTCACTTGAATTTGATTATTTTTGCCTAGAACTCTAACCAAATGAAAAATGCCTTCTTTACTACAGTCTTGACTGGGAGACTGGGATGCACTGTGCTCTTTTCCAACTCTAAAATTTCTTCAACAAATTAACTCTCCAAAACACATACTTTACAGAAAGAAAAAAAAGGCTTTTTTTTTTACCAAGGAAGAGGTGCTATATGAATTCTAAGATTACGTATCTGGCTCTAAGCACAGTAAAGCGTATAATAATACTTCCTTAAATAGATCAGAAGAGTTTTTCCCAGGGGAAGAAACATTAGACTCCTGACAATGAGAAACCTTTTGTGTTCACCAGCCTTTCTAGACATTAGAAACTAACAACAAAACAAGCTCCAAACTCCACACTATCTTTTGGAACAGGATTCCCATAACATTCCATGATTAAAGGTGGCACTGACAAGGCTGCCTAGATTACAGCTGATCAACACTGCATATTTTAAGATCCTGTTTTCATTTGCTTCTCTGTCTTTGCCAAATTCTAATCTACTTGGTTGAATACTGCAGTTGGAGTATCTCAGTTGTTTACAAAAAATAACATGGGAAAAACCACATTGTTTTTCCCCACACTTAAAGAGTGTTGACTCTCTCATTTTAAAAGCTTTTGAGCATGGGCTTGTAACTGAAGAAGGCAGAAAAGACAGGCATAGGACTGTCTGTACTTGAAAAGTCTACTCAAAATTGGTCTAGCCAGAACATTACATATGCAACACCAGTTTTAGGAAAGTTATGAGTTCAACTATGACAGCTCATCATCTACAGAGGGAGGCTATAGGTTCTGTGTAGCAAGTTATAACATCATATGAAGGAAATGAAGTTTCAAAAACTTCAGCAGATCCATACCTGAATACATTGGTATATGTGAAGTTTTCAAGTCAAATCTAACTGGTACTTGCTTCATTATCTGGAAAAATAAGCAGACACATTACAACTAGTTGTAATACATTTCTGGAAATGTCCAAGTATTTGAACATGAAAACATAAAGATGCAAAAATTGTACAGGATGAGTGTACAAACCACTAAGGTCTTTTCCATTGGTTTCTGCTATTTCTTCCAAGCAGATATATTTGACATTTAACTCTACGTTTTTAATATAATTAAGTTGTTGGTATTTCCATGTAAGTGATCTTTTTAATGCAAAATGATAGGATTTGTTCAGTTTATCTTGCTTGTATGTGGAAAAGTACTTGCACTTAGGTTGTAAAAGCCACAGAAAGGAACAATGCAGCTGAGAGCTCAGGAAATGTTTTAGCAATGCGTTGCCATACAGTAAATACATATACGCACACTAGATCATTCTAGAGTATTAAAAGTGATATTAGCACCAACAAACCATTCCTAAGGAATTGGGTTTTTTAATCCCAACACCATTTTCTGATGTCTGCTCAGTGACTGAGCATTTGAGTGTGATTTTCAGTAACAAAAGCATACAAAAATGGTAACTGTATACTGGAATTTAGCCTTTGATAGATGAAGCCTAGCTGTAACCAGAGAGCTGTTTGCTAAAAAGGTCTTTAACTCCACAGATCTGCAGAACAAAGGGAAATTTTACAACATAAGCTGACATTTCAGCTTTTAAAATTCTGCCAGCATCTAGTAAATCCCTTTCCAGGAAATTAAACTGCAAGCTTTTCAGCTTTACCAGGTGTCAGTATCATCCTTTTGTCTGCAGATTGTCAAGTATGCAGCGACTTGGAATTTAGTGGGCTATTTTGCATTAATTCTGAGTCTGGCCTTGCATGGCAAGAAGATTAGTCTCCATGTGCACATTAGTATGTACACTTACCCCTAATCTCATCTTTTCTAGGAATAACTGAAGCAGTGAAGGGCTTTGTGGAGGAGTCCTGAGACTGAACTGAGAATTTACAGAGGTGGCTTCATTCAAATGCATAATTACCTTTGAAATTCTCCACTGGCAACAATGTGAGACAAACATATTAAAACAGTATTGTTGGGAAGTTTCTTTATGTAACTGTACAAGCTTCTTAGGTTTTGAGAGTGTTAGGAATTTCATTAAAACAAACAAACAGAAGAATTGCTATAGTAAAGTAATACAGCAACTAAAAGCTGTAAAGAGATTCTTAATGAACTAGAGGCTTCCTTCCAATGAGAAATGCTGCATTTCCTGCATCTAACACAGTTGCTAAAGTGACTTCAGGTTTTTTTGCTTATCATTCCTTCTGCCAATATCACACACGTGCTCATACATGCACATTAAATTGCCACTGCAGTGCAAAGTTCTGATTCTTTTTTAGTCTTCCCTTTGCTGCCAAGCAAGTATCAAGTCTCCGCTCAAGAGAATCATCACAAACTGTTATCACATTAGGATCCATATGACCGAAATTGGATGGACATCTCTTGTAACTTCAGGTCTCATTTTCCAGAGAAAAAAGTTCTCATTTATGAGAAATATTATCATATCTGAATCTTAAAGAGTAACAAAAGTTACTCTATAAAGGTCTAACTCTTAACCTAGAAGGCTTCATAGACAACTTTGTTTTGGGTATACCAAGACATAGTTCTGTTTGCGTTCATTTAAGTAATAGATATCAAAGCAAGCTATCAGAAAAGAAATCTACAAAAGCACTGAACACTGCATTTAGTAACTTCTATTTTTAGTAAGACATTAAATAATGTTAGCATTCAATCCCAAAATAACTCAGTTCTCCAAATTAACAATCCAAGAGGATTATAAAAGATTGCCAAAAAAAACTGCATGAGATCTTGCCAGATGACTGGGTGGAACTGCTTTAAAATGAGAATTACAGAATACAGGAAAGGAGTTTCACCCTGCTTAAAGATTCATCTGCAAAAAACAGCCTCACCCACAAGTTCCTGAATCTTACATTTTATTTTGCTATACCTTTGGATTGTCAATGATTGGTGTTATGATAAGATCAGATTCAGTGTAAATGAGCTCTTTCAGTGTTGACTCCATATCCTGCTGACTTGAGCATGTATTTTTAGCCTAAAAGAAGAAGAAAGTTGTTGTAACAAAAGAAATAAAACCAGAACGTTTATGTTTATTCCTAAAGTACTTCATATCAACATTATATCATACAGTTTGGCCATGCAAACAACATACTCTAAATTACTTGTTGTTTATGTAGCAGCAGATAGGCCCAGCTAAGTATTATGATGCACAAACAGGTTGGAAGAAAAAGCGCCAGTTTCAAAAAGAAAGACTAAGAAAAAGAAGGTAGCATTATCCCTTTTATACAGTGAGGAAATAAAAGGACACTAAGCATCTTTAACTCTTACACCTGAAGTTGTGCAAATTTATTGTTTTTCTTTTTTTTCCAAATGACTTGCACACTGTAGGAACAACTTCCCTTTTATAATTATGGAAAGATAGAGAAAAAAGTGACTTTACCACAGATTCCAGGCTAAAGTTCTAACTCTAGAGATACCACCATCCTTTGATATTCTTTTTCTACTCACCTTTTCCAAGCATGAATTTCTTTGTGGAGAATTCTGGATTGGGACAGTAGTAGCATCACTTACTTCTACTGCAGTGCTAGTTCTAGGTGTTGGACGAGAACTTAAAAGAAAGAACAATAAATAGATAAATAAACTAACAAAGAGGACAGATGAAGTTCCACTGCAAACTACTTTCTTGTTGCTTTTTGGAAACTCTCATGCCATACAGCAAACTTCCAAAGCTGACAAATGTAAATGATGCTTTGCCTTATCAAATGGACATGAACATCCTGCTTTTAAATATGTCCTGACAAGTTTAGGATTTTTTGTCAGTTAGAAATGAGAAGGGACTAGGTGATTTCTTTTTGTGGTTGTTAAATGAATGCCATTTGATTGTTTTCTCACCCACAGTAGCTCTCCAAAATGGATGCTAAAATATCATTATCTTAATTCTTACTAACAACATACAAAGAAAATTAACCTGACAAAATAACTGTCATTTATTTTATGCTGTTATCTTCTGATGAATCTCATTTATGAATGAGAACTGGATTTACTTTTCAGTTTTCCTTTATAAAAATCCTGTCTGCCAATCAGAAAATGAAGAGAGACCAGAATTTTCCATATCTGCAATTTTCATAAAGCTGACAGTGAACTTGCTTTTTGTAGTATATATTAATTTAAATTGCTTCAAATCAACTTTAGAATTATTAAAATTGGCAGGCCAGGATAACAATTTAATCGACAACTTGAAATGAATGTGGCTTTTTTGGTTAGCGGAAAGTAATGTACACATTTAGTTGCAAATCACTTTTATTTATTAGAAAAAGCAACTAAATTAAAAATACAAACACCACACAAAATTAAAGATACTCATGAAAAATCAATGATCAAATGACTAATATAGGTATTATTCTTTTCAAAAGGCATCTTTCACCTGTTTTCAAGAGGAAGTTACATTTCAAGAGCATAGTGAACGAGTCTCAACATATTATCTACCAGCTAGTCAAAACTACACAAGATGTCCTAATTTTTGCAGTGAAAAATATTTCAGGATGTGCTTGGAAGTTTAAGCAGTCTTATTTCCTAAACAAAGAAAGTATGATTTCTAGTTAGGAGACTGAACAAATTTTTCTATGTTCCCACATGCTTCAAAACATGCAGATTTGTTATTTTTTTCTAAACCTGATTTGCTTTCAGATGTGTTTGAGATAGAGAAAATCTTTCTTACTTTTCCACTTCTGAGCTGGCTTCTCAGTTTAAAACAAGTCATTAGTGAAATGAACCAGCTGAAATGAGTAAGATCTATTCCCTTCACACATATAGAAGCTACTGCTGTTAAAAGCTGATTAACCACTCCTGCAGCTTAAGTAAATCTTAGTGCCAGGTCAGCAGCTTCCTTTCACTTAAATGTTTTAAAACTTCAGTAAGTAACACATGCAGCTTTGAGAACTTAAATCATTGAAGAAAAGAGAACTTAAGAAAGTAATTATAAAGAATTTGTGTTACATTTCAAATTTTGTATCAAACAGATGTACTTCAGTTGTTAAATATACTTTTTTTTAATACTCACACCCATGACATAATTTGGATTACATGTCATATGAAGTGTTTGTAATGCCACCGTAACCTCTCTTTTCAGCAAATTACTAAAGTAAATAGAAAATGCTATTTAAATTACTAATAGTATGGCTTTAGCTGTGATGACAGAAGTTATAAGTGAGATGAGAAGTAATCCTTTATTAAAAGCAACTGAAATAAAAAAGTAGACAAACTACCAGGTTCAAAAGCTGTATTTCAGGTTATGCAAGAAGCTTGAAAAAATATGAAACAGGAATATTTCAGGTTGATGACAATAGGAACAACATCTATTTTACCAGATAATCTTCTTGGCTTGAACACTACTATAGGATCAGGCTTCAGCTAAAACAAATCACTGTTAAACAAATCACTAGCTTTTATTTAATACCTTGTAGTACTTAGTAGAATGCTACCAATAGCTTGGAAAAGCTAAAGGAAGAATTTTCTAGTTGATCTTATGCTGAATGCTTATTCTTGTGTAATTAAAGCAAGCATATTCAAAGCATGTGCTCATATATATGAAGTAAGAAGGCAAGCAAGTTCTTAATACATTTTTCTGTTTAGAGCTAAGAAATTAAAAGGCTTCCAAAACCCAGTGGAATAAAGCCATAAATACTGTTTTAACTACAAACACTGCTTTCACAGCTTCCCAAAGATGTCTTAATATTAAACTGGTGGTAAAAACTCAAAAGAGGACACACTAACACAACATTACAAGCAGAATATTACAATGTCTGAAAAGACAGGAGAAAAAACAACCCAACCACACAAGGTTTTAAGGGGTTTGTAATTGTTCTTAGGTTTTCATACCTGAGAAGAAATATGGATTCTTTTGGTTCACCATCAACCACATTTTTTGGGCGCAATTCAGGCTGAGTTTCTATTGAAAAGAGAATATGAACTTGCATTCAGAAGTTACAAAACAAGTGATAAAAAAGCAAGACTGACAAAATTCATAGGACAAAATAATTCAAAATAACATCATGAACAGTATTACCTGTTTTAAAAGAATTGCTTGGTACGTTATCTGTTCTTGAGGATGACAGATTATCTGGGTTTTCAGCCGTATCCACTGGCTCTTTGGCACTACAAGACACTGATGACTCTGTGTCTTCACTGCTGTTTAATGAAAGATATTAATTACACACATTAAAATAAAAACAAAATTATCATATCTATTATTTGCTGCAATTATTAAAATACAGTTTAGCTGTCATTCTCTAGAACACAATAGCAAATGACTTCGAGAACACTAAAAAATCTTCAGCTCCCTCAGTAGAACTTGCAGGAAATAAATTAGAAAAAGCTAAACTATTACCCCATAATACCAGAGCTATAAAGAAATATTAAAACCTTTAGAGACCATTCAGTCTTCACAGATGAAAGACAAAAGAAACCTACTTCTAATAATTAAATCTAGCCTAGATTAAGATCAATAAGAACTACCTCTATTCTGCTTCATGATTTACATGTCGCACTTGAGCGCAAGTTTATTGATTCTGGTTGTTTGGGGTTTTTAATATACACCTCTATTATTCACGTGGAACTGGGTCTTGTAACTGTCCTTAAGGCTAGCCAGGACATCAAACACACATTGTGAAGAAAATACATGCGCCTATATTTAAGAAAGTACTGAGCTTCTTTTGCATGTCAAGCCTGTGTCCTATGTTTGCTGTATTTGGCAATACAGCAATATGGTGAGTGCAAACCTCAGCAGGTTATTTCAGAGGCATTACAAAAACCTCAGGAACAAGGTCAAATAATAAGGCCAATATTTTGTAAGAGATTAAGGTTCTTCTGATTCTCTGACAGACTTATGTTTGAGGAACTCAAAGATGATGACTGTGGTGGAGGTTAACATAAGCCTGCTAAAACATCGAAGAAATTCTTACTTTGTGGTATAATCTACAAATCTTGACTTCTTACTTCCCTTGGTGGCAAAACCAGTAATAAATTAACAGGCAAAGAGCCTAGAATAAACATTAACAACAAACATACTGCCACACTGGTATCAGAAACAGGTATTTAACAGCACAAGAGGATGTTAAAATAGACCAAACACAAAAACATATAGCATTCTGAAAGAATGCTATTTTCACATTAGTACTTTAGATTGGAACCTAAAGTATCTTTCAAATATTTAGAACAAAAGAGCAAAAAAATCAACACTAAATATCCTAATTCAAAATTTAAAACAAAAAAACAACCGAGCAAGGTAACAGGGGGGCTTGAAGAAGCCTAACTTTTCATACACAGAACATATGTTCTCAAAGGGTTTGGGTTTTTCTGCATATATAACAGTGTAGAGTATTACAAATCTTGAACGAAATACCCCATATTAATGCTTTGTGTCACAAGCCCAGAATATGGGTCAGCTGCATTTGAAGGATATGAGGCTGAATCATAAAGCTAAGACGCTTTGTGATGCTCTAAACCTAATGCATAAACAAAAAAAATCTCACTAAAGATAAAAATGAGCCACATTTATATAATTCCACAAAAGCTTAAAAAAAAAATTAAGTCAAATTACTGTGCATCATTATTAAATAAACAAATAAATGAAAATGAGAGCACTTATTTCAGCAGTAAATTTTAACACATTCTATAGCCAGGAGGAAACAAACAGTTTCAAAGCAAACAGTGTAATACGCTAATAGGATGATACAATTCCTAAACATCCTAAACTGTTCACTGTTTTTTGCTTGTATAAACAAAGTCTTCCTTGAAAATCCAGTACCTTGAGCATGCGTCTCTAGAATCATCACCACAATGGCTAAGGGATCCTTTCCAGAATGGATGCTGCAATAGGTCTGTCCAATTCAGCCTTTGAAAAGCAACAAATAAAGTCAAAAAGCAAAGTACAGCTCCAGACATATACCACACTAGGTTTTGAATCCAGTGACACTACAGAGCAATTAAACCTGTTGTTTGCCTTTATCTGATCAACAAGTAAATTCTCTTCAGGATAAACTTTTTGCCTTAAATCAGAATGGCTCATTCAGGCAACACAGACGTATGAGACAGCATAGCCAGTCTCCATGCATTAATTAGCTACACTACCCTACAAATTATAATCTTATGTTATTTAACAATATAACTATATCAGCTATAAATCAAAGCCTCACAAAATAGATGTGTCCATTGCTCTGGAAAAGCAAAGCCACCCAATTTTCAATCTGCCTGTTATAAAGTTACCTATGTAGCACTAGCTACAAAAATATAAAGATATACTTAATCCAAATACTGATTCTGTGTTTTCATAAAAGAAAAAGCACAATTTGCTCTTTTATATAAGAGATGAAGTAATATTTGCATTGTCATCTACAAATCTACATCTACATATTCAGTACTATAGCAATTTCTCCAGAGGTGAAAAAAAGACAATGCAAACAATTGTCATGGATTAGATGGTTTACCTTTTCTGAGGATCCTTTTGAAGCAACCCATCAAGTAAACTAATGAACTCAGCAGAAGGCTTCTGAAAAGCAGAAACTGTAAATAGAAGCATCACAGGAGATAAGCATTTGGCAGCAAAACCAACCATCACAAAACATAGATCAAATCATTATCTACAGATCATGCTAAACACTCTTTTTAACAGTAATTTCATCAAAAAAAAAATATTGACTGTATTAAGAATCTTAGATGTACATTCTTTGAATTTCAAAAGATCCTAAAAATATCCAAACCCCTCAAAAACAAAAATCCCACCAATACTTAGTCACCAAACTAAAATTTGTTTGTATGTGAAAAAAGCCCTCTCCAAGTACCATATAGCTATTACTAAAAAATAAAGTGGAGTTGAAATCTGCTTATATTGCAATTAAATTTCCCCCAACAATGATAATTTTAAGAGAACCACTCTTGCACCCCATTATAGGAAACAGGCTTTCAAATTTCTTATTTAACTGAGACCCCACTTCTAAGAGCTCAGAACTATGAAATGCACTTTATTCACTTAGAAAGCAAAATCAGTCTTGTAATTGAAACAAGCAACAGCAGTTTTAATTCTACTGGTCATTGGTTTCACTACATTACTATGAACTGAAAAGAGGCACTGCTATTTACGGGTCTCCAGGCATACCACTGATGCCCAGTACGACCGAAATAAAAATTCCATCCCAGAAAGCAGATTTACTTTTCATTCTTAATACTAAAAGATATGCCTGTCTGTCAAAAGGGAAATAGGCACTCATCATTAACAGGACAAAAGCTCTTGTCAAAGGAAAGCAGTGCTAAGATTTGGACAGCTAACAGATACCCGCAGTCAGCCTCAGACGAAACAGTGCAAAACAGAACTTTAACTTTCTAAGAATTATTCTGATTCGATTTATTTAATAACAACAGAATAACAATAACCCTTTGGTGTAGGTGGCAATGGATCTTCATGTAAAATCTTTTCAATTAATTCAGAAAAGCTGTTTGAGAAGAATGGTGGTCTTCCTGCAAACAAACAGAAGTGTGATTCACAGATTAGGCAGACTTCAAAATGGCTGTTAGGTGCAATGATATGATGAGCTCATTTTCCCATGGAAACATCCAAAGGAATAAACACCCTCAGCCCTAATTTTATTTATCAAGTTCTTTTGTCAATTTAAATACAAACCCTTAAATTAAAAATTTTAAAAAAGAGACTGTAGATAGAAAAAGGCCCCAAAGATGGAGGTCACCATGACAGCCCTGTATGTATCAGCAATGAGACAACAACAGCAGAAGGTCTAGGCAGAAATCTCAGTATCTGTGTAACTATTCTGCCCCAACAGATCAGTGTATTATTTAAGACTTCAGAAGGCTGCACTGTAATTCTTTTTTGTGATTAAATTTTCCTTCCACCTGCAGCCAATGCTAATGTGTACTTTATCTGCAGGAAACCAAATGATTCTAGTTTTGAAAGAGAAAACTCTTTCACTAGTATAAAAGTCAAACTAATGTACCCAGGATATAATACTGAGGAGATTAAAAACATGACACTGTCAGAATTCAAGGTCTCCTATAATTTTAACTCATAGCCTTTAAACAAAACACGTCAGTTAGTATTAAAACATTTAGATCACAGTCAAAAGGTCAACTTAACAGCATTACTTCACTTGATTATTTGGTAATGACCATTCTATTAAAGTACATTTAGTACAGTCTTCAAGAAATCTTTAAAACCTGCCTTAAGGTTTTCTATGTCTTAACTTCCCTAGAAAAAATCAATAAGAATTTACTCTGGGGTCATGACCTATGTTTCCATTATCACAGATATTAAATAGATACACAAACTTACAACCTGCGAACATTTCATAAAGTATACATCCCAAGGACCATAGATCACTGGCTTTGGAGAAGTCTTCTCCCTTTATTGCTTCTGGAGCTGCATATAAAGGAGAGCCTACAAAACACAGCACATGCAATGCACTTTGATTATTCAATCAGCATTTATTATTTTCAACACTTCAACCTTTGTCTCACACTTGAGTTAGAGATGATCTTCACTTAGTATAAAAAAACTGCAAGTTTTACTGTAAGTAGTTTCAAATGAACTTCTCTCCTTTTATTGAATTATGCAGGATTATATACAGTATTTTGTTGATTATTTCACTTCTATTAACCAAGATGACTTGTGTTACACTTCTGTAACACAGTGATTAATGCAAAGAATGTTTTGATATGACTTGACAGCTTCTAGAGCCAAGCAAATTGAGCAGAACGGTAAACCAACATCATTCTCACATAATAGAAATAATTATGTTACATCAGGTTTGGCAGAGGTTTCTTGTTTTCAAAAGCTAGCCCAAGACAGAAACCTTCATGAAGTTAGAAAACTGGTAAAAAAACAAGGTCACTAGACCAGAAGACCACTGATCAAAGCTAGCTATAGTTACATTCACACTAAAACACTATGAAAATTTCACATCTCAAATTATAACAGCTTATTTACAAACCCTTATCTTACTACAGAAAAATACACAGTTTCTATTTTGATAGTAATTCCAATCTAAACACTGATTCAGTTGTCAAGAATCTCTTTGCAAATTACAGAGACTCAGCAAAAGTGCCAAATCCATAGTCCTTTAAAGAGTTTATTTTGGATTCTTTTGCTCTTGGGTTTTAAGTAACAAAAGGTCATTAACTACACACATCAAAACAGCTCTTCTGAAGGGCAACAGGAAAGAGATTAGATTTGTATTTCTTCCTGAATAAAGATCTGGTCTTGATCTCACTATTTCCACTGTGGACTTTCAGCAGGAGACAGAAATGTATTAAAAAAGCTCTCCTTGTTCCCATAAAATATTGCCATTAATTCCATTCTTCTCAATAACAGTAACTGCTATGACACACCATTATCTTGGAAACAGAGGTCTGTGAGATGCTCTGAGATGACAACTAATAAAGATTAGAAGGTTACAACCAAGTTTCTGAATTTTTCTTGTTCTCTGACAAAAAAATAACACTGTATTTGCAGCCTACTGCAAACTGTAGGGATTTGATGTCAAACTTCAAAAAGAAAACTAAAGAAAAAAAGAAATCCTGTTATGTTGAAAGTCTGTTATACAGGTATACTGTAGTCTACAATCACCTACCTATGAGCTTCAATCCAAAAAATAACCTTAAGTCTATTTACAAAAAGCAGGACAACTCAGGAATTGTTAATATGTTAATTTCTATGACAGACAGAAGTATATTTTTTCCATGTCTAGTTAAACTGACTTTGTGAAACTTCAAATTATTAACATATGCTGGTAAAGACAGTTTCTTTTCTTTCCACTCACTTGCAGGTGTTGCTCCCTTTGTAAGATATGATCTCTCTTAACAATCTTCCTTAAGGGCTAAATTTTGGGTTTGAGATTACTTAAAAAACTAAAAGAACAAAAAAAACCCAACAAACCAACAAAAACCAATCCATCCATGATATGTTAAACCTGCTTACAGAAAATGTACAGACCATGCTTTCCATTGCGAAGACACAGGTAAACACATTAATCTTTACAAGTGATGAGACAAAATCAGTTTTTCAGTTTCTCTAGAAATTTAGCCAGCCCCAAAAGAACAACAAACTACTTCATTTCAAGGTCTTCTCTCCAAATTACTTCAGACAAAAAGCTTTTTCCACCTTCCATTCTGTCCCTTTGGTTAATTTTTGTTTATTCTGGCTAGTAAAAATATCGCACCTCGAAATCTATTTTTCAGGTATCTTTGTGGTGTGCTTTCACTGGCATCTCCTTCAACCTCTTCAGATGCAACTGAAGCAAAATATTCTTCCAGGTTTTCACCATCCATTTTAGCCAAGCAAAAGTTACTGAATTTCAAAGTGCCAGGCCCTTCTAGCAGAATCTAGAAGAATAAATAAGATCCAACAGACAAGTATCATATATTAAAACTGATGACTGCTGAAATTTCCAACACAAAGTATAAAATAATTTATTTAGAAAAATAAGTAAACCACAACCTCAAACTATTTAGGCACACAGAGATGATCATTATCACTGGAAACACTGAAAAGTTTTAAGGCAACACCAATCCTATCTTTTTTTCTTATAATCAAGAAATCAGACTCTTACAATAGGACCCTTAAGAAGTTTAATGCACATTTCTGTTTACTCATTATTAAATCTCAATGAAAAACGATGATACTTACTGTAGAAAAGAAAGTAAAAGTAGAGCATATAGAAAAACAGTGTATAGGAACACAAAAGTGTAGTAAAAAGAAACACTGCCTCATTCAAGAAGAAAAAAAGCGAATCTTTTCATTTTATTTAGCAGAATAGTCCAAAGATTTTGTCCAAAGATGACAAGAGTTCTCTCCATGCAGTCACTGCTTATTCTCATCATTAAACGCTTCATAACCTCAAAAATGTTGTTTGAAGAAATAGCTCATTCAACGAGGGAGGGGAAGCACTCTGTATTTAGTGCTTAAAAGAGTACTTCAGTGCAACATTATTTTTTGGAAGAACACAGAATCACCTCCATTATGCTTTATTCATACAGCTTTTACTGCTTTGGATCCATAAAGGTCAGAAATTGAGTATAATTGTGCAAGGTATTGCAGAAAATTCAGAGAAGGGCAACTTGATCACTTGCAGATCAAGATCAAAACCAGTTACCCTTAAGCAAGAATTTGTGGTTATATTGTGGTGACTACATAAATTAAAAACAAATATGGACTTTGACAAAACTATACATAAATTACACACACACACAAAATCAGAAGCTAAACGAAGAGCTGTATTTTTATGCAAGATACGACAACTTAAAGGGCATTTGGAAACAATAGGAAAGCTTATTAACAAAGAAAGTTTAGTTAACTTTACTTCCTCACTATCATTTTCTGTGACTTCAAAATGTTCTGCAGCATGAGAGAATAGGTATAATCACAAAGTTACACGTCCAAGGACAGAGAACTAAAATCTTTCATTATTCAAACCAGTACAGCAAATAAAAAAGAACCTATCACATTGTATTCAAATACACAACAGGGTAAGAAATCAATTAGATCATAAAATATCCAAGCTATAGACTTGTCTCTCACTGTCTTCACATATATTATAAAGCTCAACTGCTTGTTGAATAATAACCTTCAACCTGAGGTGAGCTTCTTCCAAACAGTGAAACAGAAATAATGGATTAAAAGCTCATGGCATACAATGTAACACGCAGTTTCCCCTATAAATAATGCTCCTTCTTACCTTTCCTGGTGTCAGTTCACAAAAGATAATTCCAAGCTTATGAATATGGTATAAACCAGTAATCATATCAACACCAAATTCTCTCACTACATCTTCAGGTAGATGTTCATCTTGAGCAATAACAGATTCTAGAGAACCACCTGAAATACATTTATACATATTCAGCAAAAGCATATAAACAAGATGACACACAAATCATTCCGAAGGACATTATGTAAGCTTCTTCAAATGAAGTCAGGTAAAAATTAGTATCTGCAAATACTAAAAATATTTGAGATTATCCAATAGCTAAAAAAACTAAGATGTACAGAAAAAAAATCCATTTCCAATATTGTGACAAAAAGAAGTCTTAATTTTGACTACAGTAAATTGAGTGCATGACTTCAAAATTACTTTCATATTTATTTATTTTATAAAGGAGACATTAAAAAAGAAGAAACCAAGGAACTGTGTCAGGTCACAATGTAACAGCACCGAATGGGTTTACTCAAATTCCTTCACCAGATCCCTGATCCCCGAGTTAAAAGAATATCAAGAGCAGCTATCAGTTTCTGTGAACAAAAGCTAAAGCTAATGACAGGCAATCGTCCACAGAATTCACAGACAACAGAAGCAGCAAAGCTGAGTTACATTCTGAGAGCCAGAGGTCAAAAACATCCAACAGATAAATTCTTTTCTTTGTTCTTTAATAGTTTAGATTTAAATGTATGTTGAGAAAAGATAACTTTCCTCTGAGATCCTGCCCAACTCACCTATTTCTAAAAATACAGAAGAAAACCAACCCAAAACTGTAAGCACTATTTAACCTTCCTGCATCACTAAACCAGTAACAAACTGGAAATCAGAAGCTGGGGTCCAACTTGCATTCCTACTTCCTTTTCCAATCAGAACACAAGTGTGAGACAACATGGTAAACACATTAAGAGGAAGTAAATAGAAGATTGTGTTTGTTCTTCACATGGTATCTCTGTAGAGCCCTTCTCTTGACTTATGGGTCCCAGTTCTTTCATTTTCACCCCTTCCTCTTTAAAAGAACTTAAAAATATCATGGACTAAAATTCCACTTTTCATGTTTCTCACACAAATCCCAGCTTCCTCCCCTAACAAGTCATACTTGTATCTGCCTAGGCTCAGACCATCCTAACATGAGACCTTTCTCTGGCCCTCCAAAATCACCACTCTCTTTCTCCAGCAAATCCAACCAACCCTTAGTCTGTTTCTGATCAGATTACACCTGGAAAGTCTTCCAAACAGCCCTCATATATATCCTCTATCACCTGTGTCCTTCCCTGGGCTTCACATACACTCTCTATGCTTTTCCCCACTGATTGTTACTGTTTCTGTCCTTGCAAAAATCAATTCTCTCCCCCCATTACCTACTTCCTCCCAGAAGAAACACTGTCACCTTGAGACAAGTGGGAGAGACCTTCCATATTTCAAAAATAGTTTTCAAGGCTCTACAAAATTAGTAAGAAATCTATGTCTTATTCTATTTGTAAGTAACTTAGCTTCAAGGCACACCCCTTGCAGCAAACTGCAATACTGCAAGGTAAAAAAAAATGCATTATAATTGTTCAAACTGCAGTCAATAAAAGGGTTCCTGTCTAATAATATGTGTTCACTTTTAATCACTGAAAGAATGAGCTGGGTTTTTTCCAGAACTTGTAACTTCTCTTCAGTATCTTTTGAAATAGAATTCTGGATAGAAATAAATGCTGTGTGCAATATGGACTTTGGCTATGAAAGCCAGATACGAAAATCTGAGCACTTGTCACTTGCACAGTTGGCCTTCTTTTCTTTCCATGTGGAATAAAGCACGCTATCTGGAGTTTAAAATATGCAGTTATCACAAGTGGAGAAAGCTCAGATTTCTTTAATGGATTGATAGGAACATCTGAATGCTCAATGAATCACTTAAGGCAGTTTTGGGCTCCCACAGCTCCCAAATAAACATCTTAACATAAAAGTCAGAATACTACTGAAGAGGAAGAAAACTAAAAACTTACTATTAGCTTCAGAATTGCCCTTTGTATGTTATTACTTGATTTGCTCCTTGCTGTTTTTATTGTGTGCTATAAAATGAAAACACCAAAGCTGACAGTCCTTAGAAAACTTAAAGTAATTTTTACTTAACTACCCTCCAACTATTCACAATTTGGTTTTAAGCTCACATGAGTAGCCCCATCTCTTCAGCTATTTAAAACCAACATGATGTCACATCACTTAACAGTCAACATATATATACAGTAAAGCAGAGGAGAAACATTATTTCAATTCATTTCTAAAAATATCTCCAAAAGCAAAAAGACTTTTGTCCATAAATAGGATTCTCAAGTTTATAATCAGATAATTACTAAGTTTTTTTGAAGGATCTAAATATTTGTTGTGAAGAAACTGTTATGAGAAATCTCTTACAAATACTTACTCTACAAATTTCTGTCTTCTGACCTTATCTTACCTGTGCATAATTCCACTACCAGCCAGAGATGGTTGCTTGTTTCATACCATTCATGAAATCTCACTATATTCCTGTGTCTGATTTTATGAGTCAGACGAACCTAGAACAAAGTTTTTAACATACATAACTGGAGAATAAGAGTAAAAAAGTTCCCTAACCCAAAATTATAAGCACTGTCTAACCTTCCTGCATCATTAAAACAATAACAAACTGAAAATCAGAATTTGGAGTTAAGTTTGCATTCCTAGTTTCTTTTTTAGTGAGAATAAAAGTGTGAAACAGCATGGTGAGTACAGTATGAGGAAGTAAAAAGACATTTTTTTCATCTTTCTTAATCTTATTAGGCAAGAGCAATCATTCAAAGGTCCCTAGAAATCTGTATTTCTATTAAAACTACATAGCCTGATCTCTACAGAGGCCTGTGTAATTTATCAGAGTTGTAAGGTATCCCTGACAGCTTTCTAAGAGGACCCCATGCCAGAGCAGGGGAAGAATCTGAGGAAGAAGGAGCAGCAGAGTCAATGTATGATGAACTGACTGCAACCCCCATTCCCTGTCCCCCTGTGCCACTCAGAGGGAGGAGGCAGCGAAGTCAGGAGCTAAGTCTGAGAAGACAAAACTGAGGAGAAGGTGGGTTAAGATTTGCTTTTATTTCTCGTTATCCTACTCTCATTTGATAGGCAATAATCTAATTTCCTCAAGCTGAGTCTGTTTTGCCCACCACAGTAACTGGATGAATGTTGATGAATTAGATGAATTGGTGAGTGACCTCTCCTTGTCCTTATCTTGATCCACAAGCCTTTTGTTATATTTTCTCTCCTCTGTACAGCTGAGGAGGGGTGTGGGTGTGATAGATTGGCTTTGATGGGCACCTGGTGTCCAACCATGGTCAACCCAATGCAGAAACAAAATTTATCTACTGGAAAAATAGAAAATTTAAATGTCTAACTGTATCAGTTACAGTTTCTTTTCCAGAATGTGTACATTTAAAATGTTGCCAAGATCTCACAAAACAGAATTAATTTACCTTAATGCTATTGTTTCATCAAAAATAATTTCTTCTTGGTAATTAAGAGATTGTTTATTTACTGGAAGATATTACTACCACTGAATTTGCACAACTAATAGCAAAATAAAGCAAACTACTACATGAAAATAACTGTTTTTAAAAGTTCTCTCCCTGTAAACATGGGTTTATGCATATGATTTAAGCAACAGTAAAAACAGATGAAGAAATAAATACATTAAAATAAGACTGTATCTGAAGTACAAGGATTTAAAATCTTAAGAAGCTGACCTAAATACTGACAAATTTCATGTAAAGAAGCACATAGTATTTTTCTCTTGTATTACCTGTTCTACAGGGTTCTGTAAGCTGTTTCTTTTCCCAGATTTAGCAGGAAAAAAAACCACAACCAACCTCCAAAAAAGCAAACACTACTTACCCAGTTTGTTATTTCAGCTCTTTTGCATTTGTCAGTGCAAAGAATGGCAACAAAATTAATTGTTCCCTTTCTTCTTCCTTTATAGACAACTGTCTTATTTCCTCTTCCGATCTCCTCATACAGAACGAAGTTCTCCATGCTTAAGGATGCTCTACAGGCAATGGATTAGAAACATGGTATTAGTCTCATAAACAAATAAACTTTTAAACAAAGAAGGAGAAGGGGAAATTATTCTAATTTAATAGTTTCTGGTGTATAGTATTTACCCTTCCAATTCTCAAAACTGGCATTATATATGTCTAACAAGTATATAATGCTTTCAAAGAAGTCCTCCTCTCAGGCAATGTGATCCAAATTTTGAACAAGTAATAGGATTTTCTACTTCCAAAGCTCTTAACACATTCAAAAAGTTAGAGATGGCCCAGCAACTACAAATTCTAAGTAATTTATCTGTAAATAGCAATCATACTGCCAAATTGAAAACTGCATGTTCTACATAAAACTGCTGTCCAAATGAAAATATACTGTACTGAAAGCCTTGGAAAAAAAGATTGACATTTCTGCCCAATGGCACTTCAGGCAAATGTGCCCCTGCAACTTTTCATGATGTAATTTAAACCTGCCAAATGCCAGTTCAAACAGTGCAACTGAAAAACACAGAACTTTGTGAATATTAATGTTATTATTAATATTAACTATAATTTTTGTCTTAAGAATGCTTTCATTTACACACTTAAACAAAATCTTTGTCATTTGTTGCAAACCTAGCAGGTGACATTTATTTATTTAAATAGAAGCTTCTCATAAGAGTCTGGTTAATTTTTTTGTTCCATAATTATTTTCTCTGAGAATCTCAGAACAAGGGGAGAACTGACAGCAAAACAGTGAAGCATCTATAATATGTGAAATAAGAGTTCTGCTTTCCATCCTGCTCCTCAACTATTCCACTGAGTTAAAAGCATAGACAAAGAAAATCCCAATACCAGCACATTCAGAAGCAGGATATATTGAGAGTTACTCCTCAGTAATTATCTTGTAGTAAGTTCTTCCAGCTCCAGGACAGCTTCACATTCTTGCCTAGTTCTTCCAACTACCAATTTAATTAGCTCCAAGCCGAGGAGTTGTTCTTTCTCATCTCTGCATGATTTACTCCATTTTGTTTATAAAACTGCTTTTTTTCAACAAGACCAGTTCTCGATGCAGTTATCCTAAAACCACAGAAAAGCAGCATATTGGAGAAAGAACTACAATAACAGGAATTACGAGTAAAGATAGAAAGGAAAGGCTTAAGTAGAACAGCTGCAGATGCCTAATCACAAATCACAAACTCAATTTCAGTTTAACTCTTTCATGAGACACAGAGCTCCCAGAGTGACAAAATGAAGACCAGGGAACCCCCAAGTTTTCAGTCAAGACTTCAAAATACAACACAGCTTTACGCAGCACCAAACAACAAAACGCCAGTCACTAAAATAATGTTTCTTGCCAGAACATCATCAGGTGCCCAGTACAACCCAGGTGACCCAGAATTCACAACAGCCATAACAGCCTCATGACTCTAGGATTTCCTTTATCACAGAGAGTTACCCAAGACAGAAGTTTTCTTCTCAAAAGAAGAAAGAATCCCATCACTGCAATTCAAAAGCTTTCAGGTTAATATTGTAAATTAGTTTATGTAGCACTAAGCAAACAGCTAGGTACAGCCAGTGTAAGATAGGATAGGAAGGCTTTTTTTCCTAGAGTTACCTATGAGAACAAGTTGATTATATAGCAATTAGTGTGCCAGACACCCCAAAATAAGGCACAAAGATAAAGCTTCAGAACAGATTGGGGTGTCCATTTCTCTACTTCTGTTTTCTGATTCACACCATTCCTTATGTTCTTTCATCTTAAAAAAAAACCCACAACCAACCAAACAAAAAAATCCTCTCAACGTCTTCCCGTAATATACAAAGCCTCCAGACCATCAATGCCATAGAAATGCATCCAGCAAAAGAAATGGCGGAACTAGAGCTCACCCACGAGATTTACATGTCCACATCCCCTGCCTTGCACCTCTTCTTTCTCAGGAATACTTCAAACCTGATGTGCACCCTGTCACAAGACTGAAGCATATATACACATTAGATGTATGAAAGATACCTCATTTTGGACATCTGAAAAACATAATCATCACCTCATGAACCAAACCATACAAATGCATGCCAGGCTCGGTGACAAGCACAGAAATACCTGGTTATCTGACAAAAGCAAGACCAACAACACACAAACCCACACTGGCACACAGCAGTCATGGGAAAGGGAAATCTTCATCGCTACCTCATGACTGGGAGTGCTTTCACATGCAGGTTAGCAAGTCCGCAAGAGGCCACGGGGAAAAGCAAAGCACCTTGTCTTACAACCCTAAATCTCATAACGGCTATGTCGCCATTTCAGTACACAAACTAATGGAGCGTGACATACGAGAGAGACTTTCAACAGCTAGAATTCATTAGTTTCGACATAAAGCATGAAGAGATCAAACAAAGTGACACAAAAAGTGCAAAGAACCATCTCGAGAAGAACTAGCTGCTGTGGAAGCCGGCCACACACCCGCCTGTAAGGAGCCAGATCTTAAACTTCACAGAAGCACCCAAAGCAACAGACTGCAGCTGCTGAGGAAACCGCATTCGCTCTGGGCGCCAACACATTGTTCCCTCTCCTCGTGAGAGGACCCGAGACCTCCTGTAGTCAAAGCTGCACTGCAGCCCCCGGGACTCGAACTGGGGAGTCGGAACTGGACTTCCCAATCCAATTCAAGGTCCCTTCCAACCCAAACCATCCCACGGCTTCATGGCATGGCCGCGGGTGCGGGACTAAGGCGGGAGCGGGACTAAGGCGGGAGCGGGAGGACGACGTGAGGGGCGGGGTGTGGCTCCGCGCGCCGCCGGCCGTTAGGCTCGCGCTCCCTACGAGCCGTTACCCGGCCGCAGGACGGGAGGCGGATAGGAAGCGACAGCCGTACCTGTGGGGCAGCGGATGGACCAGGCAACAGCACTGCCTCCGCTGCCGCCGCCATCAACCGAAATCACCACACGACTGGAGCATTCCATGACACAAGGGGAGGGAGGAGGGGTTCCGGCGGGAAGCTGGTCCGCGCACACCACAAAATACAGCGAGCGGGAGGAGCAGCGGTACAACAGTCAGAGAGAGTCCAGGGGCTGTTGTGGGTTTTGCTTTTATTCTAGCGAGAACACAGAGCCAGGCCCCCATGGGTCTGTCCTGCCTACCCCCCCCGCGCACCGCTCGGATGGTCGCGACCTCGCGCTTGTATCCAGGAGACGAGGCCAGACGCCGGAAACAGAGCGGAGCCGCCATTGGGTCGGAAGGCGCTGATGTCAGAGCGGGGCGGAGGCCGAGGCCAGACCGGAGTTCCCGGATGTTGCGGGTTGCAGTCGAGACAGGAGGGGGCGCATCCGTCCGGCCGCCGGGGAACCGCGAGCGTGGGGCTGACGGGCGGGCGGGCTGAGCCGTACCTCAGCCCGTGGTGGAGGGAAGCCCCTCAGGAGGAGCGGGAATCCCAGGCCTTGCGATCTTGGTTGTGGGGCTTTGCTATTAAACCGCCATGGGCCGAGCATCGGACAACACATCAGGTAGCGTTGCCAGTCCTGTTACAGCGGTTTGTAAAAGCCTCATTGAGGGGTACTTCGTTGTGACAACATTGAGCCCGTGGAACGACTGCTTTCCGTTTTTAACTGTGTTTTCACTTCATTCTTCATTGAAGGGTTGTGTTTGGGGTTTGTGTTTGTCTGCTTTTGGTTTTGCAAGGCCTTTGAAAAATTCAAGTCGGCATCTTTTCCTCATTGCATGACAAAACATTTCACGTTTGGTCTGTCTTTCCAGGACAAGTTAAATGGCGTTCCAGGGACAGGGTGCCCAGAGAAGCTGTGGCTGCCCCATCCCTGGCAGTGTTCAAGGCCAGGTTGGATTGGGCTTGGAACAACCTGCTCTAGTGGAAGATGTACCTGCCCATGTCAGGGGGTTGAAACTGGATGAGCTTTGAGGTCCCTTCCAACACAAACCAATCTGGGATTCTGTTTTGTCCATTATCCCACTTTCAACTTGATTTCCTAAACAGTTTTGAACTCATTGATCCATTTCAACCAGATTTTATAAAATTAGTAGTATACTTAGCAGAAAGGATTCAATGTTTCTATAAGCTGTATGGTAAGAGATGGTCAGATTTTTTACCCCCACTTTAGGGAAGATTTCAGTATGAACTGAAACCTCCCTAATTCTGTAACAAAAAACAAAACCAACCCAACCCACCCTGCTTGGGAGAAGGATATTAGAAAGGTGTCATCTGCAAAAAATGCTTCAGCTTTGTTTAATACTGTCTCAGACAGCAGAGGCTGTAGACACAAAGCACAGAACTGGAGGAAATAAAGCTTCATGAATTACACAGCTTGCCAAGAGTTCTGTCACAGTTCAGCTGTTGGGTTTGGTAGAGAGTCTACAAGGCTGGTAAGAAGAGGTCAGTGCTGCAGCTGGTTTATTGAATATCCACATAGAATTGACGGGACTTCTAACATCAAAACATATCATGCCATATATGTGCATGGCAAAAATGCTCACTTCTTAACAATTTCAGATCCTATCCCATTCTGCAGCCTAATTTCTCAGCCATTGCAGAGTTGATCTGGAATTCCCAAGGAAGCTGCAGCTTTGAAGCAAAACAAGCACAGTATTTTTTCCATTTCTTTTTTAATGTAAATGAGTAGTTGATATAAATAAACCAAATGTGTAAGTAGACATCACCTAGTTTCTCTTAGTAAGCACAAGAAAAGTATCCTTTGAAGAGGGCTTTATTTAGATTTTAGAAATCTGTATCTTTGGCTCTGATGAGGGTGACTGATACAAAGAAGAAAGAGTAGAATATTAGCTCAATTGCAGACCAGTCCTGACAGCAGTTTGATAGCAGATCTTTAAAAAGTCACATAATTTCATTGTCCTTGTCCAAACTAAGCCATAGTAACTATCAAGTTATTGCCTTTGCTTCCAAATTTCTAGTGTTGTCCTACCTACAGATTTCTGTTATATTAGTCTAGGTTAGAGATTGATTTTATGCCAAGGGGGTAAGTATCCCATTCTGGGGGAGTGAGATGGTATGAACTTTAACAAAATCTGTTGAAATCTTCATATAAAAGTGGCAATAACATTGCAAAGTACAGAAAAAGACTCACAAAACAATGCTTTAATACCAAACAAACCAGAGTTTCATAGCTTTTTAAATTAAATGTCTCCATGATGAAGAATTTTTGGTGTAATTAAAGGCAGATACAGGGGACACGTTGACTTACACCCCTCTTTTTTTCCGATACCTCTTAGTTTGGAACTGTGTTGCTTTGTTGTTGTTGTTGCTACACACACTTCATTACATGTACATCCAGATGATAAGAAAGATACAGACAATTTCAATATGCTCCAGATGGGGAACTTTCCCTTTGATTTAGTATAAGAATCAGGAATTCTCTCTTCAAATATTTTACTTGCTTTCAGTGATGGGTTACCATGAAGAAATAATCTAAATACAAATGCATATCAGGGCTGCAATTATAGGACTCTTACCTTTAGTGTTTGGGTTTTTTTTCCTTGTTTAGCCTATTACTCCTTTAGTCTGTTACTGAACATGACTTCAAGCATTGTACTCAACTGCAGTGAACTTTTCTGTGGGAATATTTTCAACATTCAAGAAAGGAATGTAAAATATTCTGTGTGCTGTTTGCACCATTTCAATCCTCTCAGCAATTTGTACAGCAAACTCAGCCTTGCTATTTGCCTGGCTATTATATGAGACAGTCAGATGCAATCAAATTGTTGTTCTCAAATAAGTATATGATCTAATTTAAGGTAAACTGAGATCTTGTGATTGTAACCACATAGTTCAGGAATGTTTAAACACTTCAGGGCTCTACCCTCAATGGGTACTACAGAAGCCTCTGACATTTTGCCTGATTCCCAAAAGCCTGATTAGCAGCCTATAGTTTTAAGGTATGTTTCCATGTTTTGTTTTCCTTTACTAAGATCTTGTAGCTTTCTCTAATGTCTGTAGAAGATGCTATACACTTGTGTTTTATTTTGCCAGATGCACTAATTTTTCTCCCAGCTATCATGATTACTCATGCTCTACCCCATCTTGCTAGTACATGGTGTTTCTTTCTATTCCAGACTGACCCCATTCTCAGGAGAGTTTCTATTCTCAGTG